AAAAGGTCATCGTGTGTGTTTCTTCTACTCTTCAACCCTTTCACTGCACCCTTTATTGAATAATAATCGCAGACTTGATAAATGATATTAGAAAATAATAATAATTCATTTTTAAAATTCTCAAAGAAAATTTTCAGTGTCTCTTTGGGTTCTCGATTCTCGTACGCAGTGAAAGAGTTATATTTTTAAGTTTGAATCATAGCAACGAAAATGAAAGTCGAAGAATTACAAAAGTATCCAATTACCGTGTTACTTAAAACGTATTTTAGAAAACAAATTCATCACTCCAATTAACGTTCTATTGAAATAAATTGCAATTAATTGTAAGATCTCAAGCGAAACGACGCGCCAACAATGTTGATAAAACAAAAACAAACCATTGCTTCGTATGGCGAACGAAAACTTGCAAAATCATACCTGGATTATTCGTCGATGAAAAAGGAAAAATAAGAATGAGAGAATTGGAAAGAACGTGATTAAATGATTTATCACCGTGTCACTGGCCGTGTCGAGTTCAGTGGTCGATTACAAAATCCATGAAAGTCGAAGCGAGGGTGGACGCCTTGATGCGAACTGACTGCCGACGCTTTCATTCAAGAAGGCGTCGGCGGTCGTCGCGACGCCCTTCGCGCAAGCGCCCACCACGGTGGTATTCTTTTTTTCTCTTTCTCCCACTTTCAGCCATATGTATGTAGAAACATACGCGCGTGCAACGCGGTCCTTGCGTCGAGTTACCGATTTATTTCAATTAATAGAAATATATCCCGCGATATTAATAGGCAAGCACCGCGACAATTATGATCCTGTCACGAAAGAAAATGAACCGAACTGCGTTTCAATTAGCGTCAAAGATTCGTTCGTTTTCCAATTAGGGGATGATAACACTAGTGAAATTAAATAAATTAAAGTTTGAAAATTATTGTCCGATAGTTGTAATTTAATTTAATGTAGTTCGCGAGCAAATCCATTGGAACAATACTAAACTTTTGTACGGCAGAAAATGAAGGATGCCAAGAAGTATCGTCGTTGATTAATAGTACGTTCTGGCGTAGCAGCTCGTCGTGCAGAATTTCACGACTTGCAGAAAACGTGGGAATTAATCAGATGTAACCGCAATTTCGTGAAGTCGAAATACTAAGGTTCGCTAACTTCATATCTCAACGTCTTCGTGCGACTCCGCAGTCCAAGCGAATGGGGTTGAAAAACGAACGTTTGCCTGTAATTTTCCTAGCGTGTCACACCGTATTATAAGGGAAGTGGGTTAATAACAAGCGAGCAAGTTTTGCCGCTCAGTCTCTTGTTAGGAAATATCATTAATTTAGACGATATAAGCCGTAGTGAATTGCGATAAAGAAGAAAGTGAATTTCTTAATGGATGGAATGTAGAAGGATTCGAACGCCCCTAGAAGCTTCTGCCGGTCAAAAATAGACGTGGAATGACACGGGGAAGCGGATACCGTAATATTTTAGTGTCGCCGAAATAAAACTCGCAGCCATCTGGCCAATTATACGAATGCATAAATTCGAACTGAACGCCGGCCTCGAGAAAACAAACTTCGGTCGCGTTTGTCCCCGTTTACGACTTCCGATCGATCGATCTTCCCTGTTGAAAATCAATAGCACCTTCGTACTTCCTGGTGCCTTCGTTACCTGTTTTCATCACAGCATTCAATATAGACTTTACCTTGTAAAGTAACATTTAAACTGTTACTCTCTACGAATTAGTATGGAAGTTATGCTTGTTCCAATTTATCGAATTTCAACCCAAAAAAATGTCTTAATTTCCTTAGTTCCTTCTGTACGATTCAGCTGGTGTTGATCGCGAAGGACAGGCGTCCAACTAAATTCGTCGGAAAAACGAACATCAGAGATTCGAATATCGCGGCAAACAGGCGTCGCGATGCTTGCAGACGTCGCAACGACCGATCTGTTGAGCGACGCGCGAGAAGATTATGCCGGTCGGTTTCGTTTGATCGCATCAGATCCGCTTCTCTTCTTCTCTCTCGGTTGCTGAAGAGGCTCGAGGAGATAGGTCGGTTCAGCAACGTCTGCAAATAAATTAGATAGGTTAACGAGCCTCTGCTGTGGTTCGGATCCGTTCAACCTTCCACCAAATTACTTTTTCAAGCCTTTAGCGGACCGTCAATGGAAATGTGGCATGAAGGTATATTCTTATTTTTCATTTATTAATAAATTGATGATATTTTCATATTAATTCAGTTCCTTTCAGCGCTTTCTCCAATCCCTTCTTACCGCCAGCAGTTGCTATTCCAACGTAACGTTCTTAACGTGAGAAGGGTACGCCGCATTTCAGGGTACTTCCGTTTCGGTGACACAGCATTTCCGGCGCACGCGCCACCAACGAAAAGAGGTCATTCAGCGCTATGGCAAGCATCAGTTAAATCAGTGACTACGGGATAGAAGAAGATTGGACATGTCTTTGTTCGCGAGGAGTCTGGATTTAGGGGTCCCAGTCACCCCCAGACACAGCTAGGTCTGTAAGTCGGTATGACGATCGTGCCTGTTTTACCAGTCCAACATTCAATAACTGTTTGATCTCATAAATATATATTATAAAAACTGGTTCGAGTACAGGAAAGTACAGGTAAGTAAAGGTAAGTAAAGGTAAGTAGCCAGAGAATTTGAGCTTCATGTGAGGCCGCAACATTGTTGAAAAACGCGCAACACTGGCCTCACGCGACGCAACATTGTTGCGCTCGAAAAATCAACTGCATCACAAGATGCGGAAAATTCTGTGAAGCAATTGTTCGCCGTGTGCCCACAATGGTGCAAAACGTGAGGCCAGGATTGCGTGTTCGTGGCAATGTTGCAAACCGAAAAAGCGGCCCGCGAGAGCGCAACAATGTGGCAATCGCCTAAGCTGGCCTCACGATTTGCAACATTCATTCTGTCACTACTATGGTGAATCGGGTGAGGGCAGAGGTATCGCATTCACAAGGTAAGGCAGGGAGAGACGTCTATTTCCGAACGGGCGGTGCTCTAAATTTAAACGACACCATCCGCCCTCAGTCTCCGGTGCCTGCCACTTCCTCTCTTCACGTCACTTTCGTTAAGTCGCGGCGACCTATCACGCTTCGTGCGTTCATTAGGTTAACTAACTAGACAAAACATCGATCTTTTTCTTTTATCTTTCGAAATAGTTATTCTTCTTGAATAGGAAAAGGCCCTCTTTTTTCAAGACTAACAATATGTAAATCAAAGTTTTTTCTATATACAATTGTATGCTGCAATGGATTTTGTAGATATTAAACATATTTTATTACGTATTCCAATAAACTTATTTTTAGCCCTTAACTGCATTTTGCACTCGTTTGACCATCTGCCAGAGGATTATCTGTGAAAAATATGAATTAATTAATATTAATCACGTAATCGATCTTAGCGTCATCTATACAGAAACGGTGGAAACTATACGACAACTTACCGCCATTGCTTTCGAGGACTCGTGATTTACGGGGTCCCTGACACCCCCAGTATGAAATCACGGCGGTATGCAGAGAGCGCCATCTATGCACCGGGGTCCTTGATACCCCAGTCGCCATAATGTCGGTATGCAAGCAGCGTCATTGGTGCTCGGGGTCCCCGACACCCCAAGATGTATCAGGTCGGTATGCAGAAAGCCACTAATGCATCGGGGTCCCTGACACCCCAGATACCATAACGTTGGTATGCAATGAGCATCACCGGTGCTCGGGGTCCTCGACACCCCAGATACCATAACGTTGGTATGCAATGAGCATCACCGGTGCTTGGGGTCCTCGACATCCCAGATACCATAACGTCGGTATGCAGAGCATCATCGGTGCTCGGGGTCCTCGACACCCCAGATACTATAACGTTGGTATACAATGAGCATCACCGGTGCTTGGGGTCCTCGACATCCCAGATACCATAACGTCGGTATGCAGAGCATCATCGGTGCTCGGGGTCCTCGACACCCCAGATACCATAACGTTGGTATGCAATGAGCATCACCGGTGCTCGGGGTCCTCGACATCCCAGATACCATAACGTCGGTATGCAGAGCATCATCGGTACTTGGGGGTCCCTAACACCTCAGGATGATATCAGGTCGGCATGTAGAGAGCGCCACCGATGCACCGGGGTCTCTGACACCCCAAGATGATAGCAGGTCGGTATCCAGAAGGTGACATTGGCGCACCAGGGTCCCTAACACCCCTGGATGAAATCAGGTCCGTATGAAGAGGGCACAACCAGTATAATAATTCTAATTTCTTTCCGGAGTTTAATTTACTTTATTTATTTTCTTTGCTTATTAAATAAGCTCATCGAAGGGGAATAACATTTATGATTGTCAGTGCCGTAACGAGGGCGTGGCGAAGAAGGCGCCCGTCACGGGTGCGAGTTTGGGGCGCAGAAATTGATCGGTAATGCGTTGAGTAGTTTGAGCTGTTTTTGTATAGATGGCGCTGCGGCCGAGAAGAGAAGTACACCATCCTACTTCATCGACGTCTAAAGACAGACTGACGCGTTTCAACTTCAGTGTCAAGCGACTGATTTATAGAAGTAGCTTCCATGTTTGCCAATCTAAGTTATCAGAATTTTTAAGTATTTTACAACACTGTAATCAAGGCTCAAATATCGAAGTTGGGGCAATTCAGATGAATAGTCTTAAACATTCTTCTTTTTTTTTCAAAATTGTTTTCTTTATTTTGTAGAAAACTGCGTGATAAGTACACCAATAATCTTGCAATGTCGAAATGTTGCCGATTCACACAGGGGGCACGAAGGGGACTGTCCGGAGCAAGTTTTTTCGATTTATGAATTACGCTCGTTATTGGTCAACAGTCTTCTTTTTTCATTTTCGTGCCTCTCCTGGTCCGAACAGCCTCCGAGAGGCCCGAAATAATGTGTTTTGCTGTTTATTAGCAAGCCAGAGCAGTGAACAACGAACATCGTGTTATTTTCTTTTTCTTTCTCTTCTATGTAATACAATTGGTATGGTTTCTACTGTATAAAAAAAAAAAAAAATGAGAACCGTTTAATTTCCTCGCAAGTTCGTGGCACGCTCGAAAAACACGAGATTCTTCATACGAGTAACATAGAACAACGAAAAATCGAGAAACACGTGTAGAAGAAGAGGTTCGAAGAAGAGGAACACATCGCGAAAGGTCCTCTTTCGCGCGCTTTTTCTTAGCTTTTGAATCTCGCGCCGATTCGAGGGCCGTTATCGTGCGCGATTGGCGCGACTTTCGAATCATGTGAAATCAATTCTTTCCTTCTATTTTTTATTCTTTTCGAGATGACTTGCTTTTTCTTTCGGTAGAAGCGATCTACTACTTTAAATAACACTGTTCCTACAACATCGATCGATTACTTTGAAAAAAGTTTCTCCAATTTCTCGCTCGCATATAATTTTCTTTTTTTTTCCCCTCTCTCTCTCTCTCTTTCTCCCCTGCTCGTACATCACGACGACAATGAAACGATAATTAATTCGACTCGAATGACGTACGTTGGCTAGTGGTTCTTCTTACACGTCTTTTTCTCTTTCATTTCGAATATTCCAATCGCACAATTTCTTTCGTTTCACGCACGCGCACAATCATCCTTGAACTCGGTACCGTTTCAAACACGTAGAAACGTTAAACCCCCGTTAAAATCAAGTAAGACGCTGCCGATCCCGAGAAATCACGAGACGGTGTAAAAAGAATAACTTTTTGATTCTCAGATTTCCATCCATATCAGTCTGCGGGTCTGTGCATCGTTTCAATTTCGATCATCGCTATCGTTCACGACCGTTTCTTCGATTACCTAATAACAACGAAAAACAAAAAGGAAAACGAAGAACAAGAAAAAAAGAACATGATTTACACTCCACGACGAGCGTCGAGTTCCGCAACATCGGCTGATCTTTCGCGTTGCTCCACGATCGAACGGTGAAGAGAAGAAATCGTTTCGATGATAATAGAGCAATGAGAAATCACCGAGGTAGAACCATGTTCGTCGTGGGAAAAGACTAGACACACCAATCTTATCGACAACGCGACAATAATTACCGGCCTCGAAGGTGAGAAGCCTAAAAGGTAACGTCGAATTTCTTTTTTCGCCTTCTTTGTTTCGTTTCTTCGAACGCGTTTCAGAATTTTCAAACACCTCTCTCGTGAAGAAAATAAAAGAGAAATCACAATATCCACGCCTAATGATAATAAAACGACCGATCGATTTCATCCCCCGACAGGACGCACGGCTCAGCATGACTAGATGGACCGGAAGCGGCCAGGTTCTCGAATTTTTTCAATCTTTCGACCTTAATCGCGATCGAGATCAACCTGAGCACGAGACGCTTCCGAGAAGACGTACGAACGATGAGGACCAGACAAACGGGCTTTCGTTCGCTATCTAAAGCTTAGCTTTCCTTGCTAGAGCAAGTGGTACAATATTACTAATAAAATACTATACTACTCTACTCTAACAATGATTAGCTTAGTGCCTTGGTTACATTTATAGAGTAAATAGTGAAATAACTAGCGCTGGTACGTTTGAATAGTGGAAGGTTAGTGGCAGAGTTACTTTATCACGATGAAATCCTACTCTAATAGTTTTAGCACTCTATCACCCATTCGTCTAATCACGAACATAGTCAATTTTTCTACTAGCACTAGTACATTATACCATTTACTCTATCGACAACTGGGATCAGTAATCTAGGCTCAACGCTCGGAGTAATTTCTTAATTGCCTAAGGAGGAAAGAAAGCTTTCCTAATTCAATGAATTGTTCTTAGCCAATAGATTCTTCCTCCTCCTATAAGTATCTAAAGTTTCAAAGTGAAACTTTGAAATTTTTTCATAAAAAATTCATTTTAATCGAGGAAATATCAAGGTGATAATAAACCTTGGCTACTAGGAGCGTTAGGAGTGCCGATCCAGCGAGCTAAGCCGTTCGTCTTTTAGCCAACCGATTGAAGAGACTCGTGTTGAAAATTGTACGCTTCGAAATCGCGAGCAGGATCGTATTCAACCCGATCGCGTGGAGATTTGTATGCGGAAGGCCACAAAAATGATCGGTCTCGTCGCTCGTACCGATGAATCGTCCAAATAAAGAGCCCGAGCGTCGCAGCGAATCGTTGAATAGTCACGAATTAACATTAAAATCGTGCTCGTTAAGAAATTTCTATTCGACTCGCAGTGAGACGAGTATTTCGTTCGATTACAAATATCATTTCTTTCTCTTTTCTCTAAAGATCCACCACGATAACGGTGGTCGTGTTTAAAAATTCGATCTATAAATCGATAACAGCGATTCTTTCTTTCTTTCTTTTTTTTTTTTTTTTTTTTTTTAATTTAACCGAGGCTTGCACAAGACCCATATATTTTGGATTTAGACATACCTTTCACGTATCTGTTTCTTCTATCATTCATACGAACACACATACACACACACAACGATCTTACAGATTTTCTCATCGATCGCAAAGGACCATATTATCTCGTTAGTCCGTTATTGTTCGTTATTCATTTTTTTCTTCACGCTTATATCTCATTTTTGTTTCCGCTCGAACGTATTTTTTTTTTATCTTTGTTTTACATACAGAGAATACGATTAATCTTCATCACCTAATATTGCATGCGCGTGAACACATTTTTGACACGATGGAAAGAGCGTGCGCGCCTCTCTCTCTCTCTTCCTCTCTTTTTCTTTCATTCTTTCTCTCGACGAGAGAAACGGTCGACTGCGTCGTGTTGTAGAACTGCCCGGACATTTCTCGGAAAAGAACCTGTGATACAACGTTTCGCGTACACCTGTACAAACCTGTACCCGTGTTTTCTTCGTTGGTAAATCGGTTTAGCTTTTTTCGAGTACTTTTTTTTGGAAAACGTGCCTTCGTCGCTCGATTTCGCGTGTTCGTGACGCGAGGCCAGGTAAAATTGAAAAAATACGCAGCTTGGTGTAGAACTTGTGATTTAAAAAAGAAGGAAACGGATGAAAATTGTTTGAATTTGAATTTGAATTTGTAGGAGGTGTTCGAAACGCTGGCCTTGCTTGACACGCGTGAATCGAGAGGAAAAGTTGTCGGTAATTTCACTGTAAATTTGACCCCTTCGTCGTACGGTTTTAAGGATTACAATAATTGGTGACTTCTCGTGAGATAGTTCAGTAGTTTCGCTCTGTCCCGAGGTCGAGAACCGAAATCGACGCCGTTAGTCTGTTTTTTGAATGGTTTCGAATTCGTCTACAAAAATTGTTCCTAAATGCACTTCTAACAAAACATGACTGTAATAAATAAAATTCAAAAATACGATAACTGTGAGAAAATTATTTCTTTAAAGAAAAATCATCTATGCGAAAAATAAATAAAAATGGATCGTCGAGAGTCGGTTCATCGACGAGGCAGATCTCGTCCTATTTCGTCAAAAAACTGAAGCCTTATCTATCTGAATAATAATAAAGTAGCATTATATCAGACATCGTGCGAGCCATTCGAAACACAGCGAGACTGCGTCCAGCAAGCATCGAGCGTCGCGACGCCCTCCTCTTCCTTCGACCGATCGATGTGCCCCGATTAATTTCAACCCCTCTCATTATCCAACGTTTCGATCCTTCGCTCTCGTTACCAATCACTAAAACGTGAATATCGATCATTTCTCTCGTCGCATCGCATCGAAAGGAACTCTCTAGGCTCTCTTTTCTCTCGTGTGTTTTTACGCTTGGGTCTTCGAGAAAAAGAAGAAAGATAGGAAGAAAAATAGAGAGGGTGGGTTGTTACACAAGAGGAACGCGAGAATCGATGGACGGAGGAGGACGAACACACGATTTTTCGTCGATCGGTAAACCCTGAAGAGATATCGACGGGTCGATCGCAACGCTCGAAGCGAGTTCTTTTTTTTTTTAATTAATAATAATAATAATAATAATATTTGTTTTTCACGGAGGCCTCGAAGCGTAACGCGTGTCCCAGGGCGATTTCGTAACGGCCCGTCCAACTCGTGTTTATGCGTGGTGTAAGGTTTAATTACTTTTTAATCAAGTATATAGAGCATATCATTTTTAGTCGTAATAATTATATTGATATTGAACTACCTAACCTAATATTTACAGAGTTGCTTCATCATCATTATCATCATCATCATCGTCATCATTTTCTTTTCTTTTTTCTTTACGCTCTTGGCACTACTTTTCCACTGTCTCGCCTCACTTTCGCTCAGCCCGTTCTTCCTAACACTCTCTCAGACACTTGTCATCGTGTTCAGTCGATCGCATATAGAAAAAACAAGAATTGTCTCTTTCTTACCATTGCCATGCGATCTCAATGATAATAATCAACCCGATCAGGACCATCTCTATCTTCTAGCACGTAACACGCTCCGCGCACGTCATACAACAGCAAATACACTCATTCGCGCGAATATTCATTTATCCTAGCGTCTGGCAGCTCGTCGTCTGCTTTCCACGTGTGTATAATATATATATATATATATATTTTCGTTTGTCTCGCTCGCCGGGGCCGCGGCATCGCGAATTAATTCGCCAATAAATAATTTGCTAAGTCTTTTTCGCAGTGAAACAGAAAACTTCCAAAAAACCTCGGACCAATACTCGACACCGTTCTTCTCAATATCGTCCCGCGTCGTTGTTTTATTCTTGGCCGGTGCGCGCGTTGGATTTTCATCGTTTCGCCACCCCCATCATCCTCGTTATTTCTTCTTTTCATACAGGGACATTGCTCAAGGTGTTCGCGTGTCTATCCTCTCCTTTCTCCTTTTTCTTCCATTCGTTTCCACAGACACATTCATGGTCCACCGTGTTTGCTACCTCTCTACGAACAACGAACTAAACTGTCCTCGCGTCTGTCTACTGCTTTGGAATCGTCTGAGATCTAGGCTAGAGACTGGCCTGTTAGGATTGCCGTATTAGCCGACGGGAGCATCGTCAACCGTAAGCCACATCGAGGGGACCACCAGCGTATCCATCGACAACGCGAGCTTAACCCGAAAATTACGATCCCTGGTACCTCGGGTGTTTTGTCCCGGGCTTATCAAACAGCCAGCCCTCCGTTTGAAGGACCATTCAGTGCGAAAGTGGAGGATCGTTCGCCGAATTGTCAGTTTGGTCCTCTCTTATTTTCTCGTTGAAATTCTCTCTCCGCGCACCACGCCTAAAGCCAGCCAGCTTCGTCCGTGTAATTTTAAGCAGGCATCATCAGCTGGCCGAAACCGTGTACGAAGTTTCTGCTGCGAGTCAGTCTTGAGGGATCCTCGAGGTCTCGAGGATTCTCGAGGGCAGAACCAGCACGACGATCCCGGTGCCAGCGTCCTTCTGTTCTTCGTTAGCATCTGCCGCCTTTTGTTCAGGCCGATCCGTGCCGGCTCGTAGCCGTTTCCACGACATCCTTCGCCGTCCGTCGACCTCGAGGAACTCTCTCCTCGGCGTCGTCATCGTGGCCTCGAGTGCTCTCCTCGGCCGCGCCTTGCATCAGACGTGGTGATGGTGCTGGTTTTGTTGGGATTGTTGAGGCTGTTGCTGTTGCGGTTGCGATTGTTGTTGGGCTAACGGTGGTTGCGGTTGATGTTGTTGCTGTTGCGGATGCTGACTCTCGTCAGCCTCGCAAGGCACCACCGTTAGGCTGGAGAGATTGCTCAGGTTGCTACTGGACTCGGAGTAACTGGACAGGGTCGGTCTTCTGGGCGGCACCACTACGGCTGGCGTCGAGCTACCAGGACTTGGAAACTTCTTGAACACCTTCATCAAGGAACTGCCTGCGCTGTGACAGCGTATCCGGTCAGGCGCGTCCAACAAAGCGGACTGGCTTCGGTAAGGCGGCGGACTCTCGCTGTCGAACACCGTCCGGTTTGGCGGCGGTCGGACACACTTCTGGTATATCTCGCTCTCCTGAAACATCGAACGGTTCGCATTACTTTGAGTTGAATGGAAGACACTGGAGATAGATGGCAGGTTGAAAATTTGGAGAATCGTTGAAAGAATGATAATTCTCAAAACTTTCAGCGTGTTTTTGGTAATCGAACGATATTAGACTATCCAAGATATTTAATATCTCGAGATCTTGACGAGTATCAATTAAGCGGAATACGCGTGACCTCGCTTAATATTTGCGCACGTTCGCGAATGACGAAGCGCAATAGCATACCCGACGAGAATCTCCGGCGAGCGCGGAGGAGGAAGTGAATAAATAAATATTTTTTTCGGTCGTTTGCCGAGCGCCCAGGAAGTGAGGTACATTCAACACCGGCGCGGCGCGGCGCGGCGCGGTTAGGAGTCCAGCGTGCCTCGCGACGTGGGTTACACGTATAGGGGCGTAGAATTACTGAAATTCTAACCCGTGACCCTCGAGCAGTCTCGAGGGCGCGCGTGTTTTAGCCCGATGCCGGCATCCAGAAGCCTCGACAGGGTAGAGAACCCGATCCCCGTCGCCGCCTCCTTCGCCTCCTTCCTGGGGCACCACTAAGACGCGCGCCTACGGCGTCCCGACGGCCTTCCTCGAAAATCGCTCGATCGTTCCCGAATTTTCTCGACCGGGTAGATTGGTTTTAATTATCGATCAAACAGCGATTGTAATGATACTCAATAAATATGAATTTGAAATACCTCGCGAGCACTAATTGCAACAGGTGAAAACCACTTTGTCAAGTCAACGAATGTAAAATAAAAAAGTCTCGATTTCGTTCTGAAAGATCCACCATATCTGAGAAATGATTTATCGGGTAACTTGAGGTCTCTTCGCGTACCAGTCATAAATAACGTTTAAACATTGTAATCAGCGCGGTTAATTACCGTTCCCGCTTAATAACACCGTCTCTACGATATCAGTACGCGAAACAACTCCGTCAGATATAAATACTCGCGCGATCAGCACGAGTTCTCACTCAACACCTGCGAATCGCTCGAGCCCACCGGTTTAAAGCACACGATCAACAACGATCTGTAACGCGATTTTATCTGAGGACACGGACCGTGGAAAATTTATCCGTTTTTACACGCGTTATTACCCACGGGGAATCGTGAATCTCGAAAATGCGCTCATTAACGTCGACTAATCGACGCGAACGTTCGATGAATGAACGGGGACGATTGGAAAACGTCTGGAACCAACGAATCGGCTAAAATTGCCCCTCTATTGAAGTACCATGGTTAATACCATTACTATACCCCTGTTAAATGTAATCGGACTCGAGGCAACACGTTGCCGCAATAACGATTAACCCTCGAATTTGCGGTCGTTTCGGACACCGACAACTAATATTTAATATTACACTCATTCGAGTTAAAATAATCATTCTAACTTAATATACTTCACGTTCTACGTGTAAAGAGAATAGCAGAGAAGCATTAAATATTGTAAAGGGGGGTCGAGCTCACCTGCTCCGGGTCGCGCAGGTGAAGGGCGGTATGCGCTCCGTACGGGCGTTCCTCGCCATCCGGAAGCTGAAGCCGTGGGGGTAGGTCGAGGGCGAGGTCCTGCCGGACACTTCCGGCGCGAATCGCCCGGTCCCTCGCGGCGGCCACCATCGCTTCCTGCATCCCGTCGGTCCCCCGTTCGCCACCCACTCCTCCACCGGCGCCACCATTGCTCGGATCACCTTCCAATCCAGCAGCGAGGCCGCCGTGACCGCCGCCGCTTCCTACCTCCATTCCTGGGCTCACCGACAGCATCTATGGAACAAGACGGTTCTTCGTTAATTATCATCCGCAATGAAATTTTCCATGGAAAAACATTAGTGTACCAATATCGATTTGTATAGGGTCTTTCGAAATAAATAAAGTGTACCAAATAGTCAAGTAAACTCACAGAACACAACACCGTCACCATAAAGTTTTACGACCATCGCGCAAATTGAACCATCATCTAAATTAATGATTTATCAACCACCTGCGGTTGCGTAACAAGAACGACCTAATGAAGATTTCGAAAAACCTAACGGTATATTTTCTGCTAAAAATCATCATATTGAAGTGCATAGTAAAATTATTTTACTGTAGAATTAAGAAACCGTTAGAAATGTCAGGATTCCTGACCTTTCCGCTGAATATACATCGCGATGTTATCTTCGAGAAGTAGAAGTAAGCAAAAAATGTGAGAATAGGTCGAGGATACGTATCTAATTTGTTTACACGGATTCTGTTTATTACCTGTTATTGCTGTTCCATTTCAAAATGTCAACCATCCGTGTGAACATAAAGCAAACATCGTTAGAAAGCTGAACAAACATCGTCGATCTATTTTCACGTTATACTGTACCAATTTATCAAGTCCGTTGTTCTACGTCTTCGTCGTACAATTCTACGCGACAGATACGTCTAAAAGATAGAGAAGAAAATGTTGATAATTTTAACGACGATAATTTATTTATCAATTTCCAACGAGATGGCGCAACGAAAGGATTGAACGTCCGTCTCGGGGAACGATTCTTCCCCCGCGTTCGCCGCGTTCCGGAGCAAGGTTAAACTTATACTCCACAACGTCGTCTTATTGCCAATTCAACGACATTGTAGACCGCTGACTAGAGGAATCTATACGATAATAACGCGCAAGGCCAGACGCGACAGTCTATGCAGCGGTCGCCAGTTTGTCTCGAAGCGGAGTGCACGGGATCCGACTCGTCATCGTCGCGGTCCTCGTCACCGTCCCCGTTGTTCCCTGAACGTGGCCAAACGGTGTTTTCGCGTATCCGCGACATTATTCTAGTTCCGTGACGAGGTACAAATTTGATCATCCTTGACCAGGAGCCGATGTACAAATTACTCGTGTCCGTCATTTCGTGCGCGCTCTGACTATCCTAACAGCACTTACGTGATTCATTCGCGGGTAAATGACAGGAAATGCTCGAAACACCGAATCTAGAGTGCCCTCGGCATTTCTAAACGAACCGTGTCCTTCCTGGATCGATTACAGAAACGAGACTGATTACCTGTCTATTTTGATTTTCACGAGAATCAATAACAGGTACGCTCGATACTGAAGGTTCTCCTTATTATTACGGTGTTTAGGTCTACTAGATGGCGACTTTCAATTACGTACAAGGTGTCTGTGTTAATTTGCAAAAAATAAGTCGAACACATGAAACTTTTTTCATTGAAAATTTCATTGTTTGCTCTTTATGGTCTAGGTCATGATTAACCAGGTTCGAGGGTTAAAAAGATCGTACCTGACTTTCCTGTTTTCTAACATAAAATGTAAAAACAATTCTCTTCGTTTTGTACCTTTGCTGCTTAAAAATTGAATAAAATACCAACCGTGATATCTGGAGCATCGTACCAGGAAATAATTAGCTCGTAGCAACAGGCATACGAGGTTTGCTTTGAAAACTGCAAGCTGCCAAAATTTCTGCAACTTGGTCATTAAAAAGCGTGCACCAATAACGGTGCAAGTACTTGGAGGAAGTTGGAACACAATATGCACGATAGACGTTCTATTTCTAAAGCGAGAAACGTGCAGAATTTCCCCCACGTCGGACAAACTTCGACACAGAACTTCGAAGAAACTTCAAGGCCTACGTAACGCGCGAAATGAATATTCACCGGAAAAAGAAAATTTTCATAAATCACACTATCGACTGCAATGTTCATTTTCCAATCAGCAAGTATAAATCACTTTCACAATTTTATCGAGCAGGAAAAATCGACGAAAAATCGAAGAAAATTCGCGAAGAAAGTTCGCGAGAGTAGCCGACGCTGATACACTCTTTTGATCACACAAAATTTTTCGAATAATGAGATAAAAGTTCAGAATATCCACGCGACGATTTTTGATGATTTATAGCCAAATAAGGGATGAAAATGTTTTTCGAAGATATTCGCCGGTGAAAGTTCAAAGGATACCAAAGGATTGCGAGCAGAAAACTGACGCGGACGAGGGCAACGATAGTCGTTCCTATCGAACGCGTAAGCGGCGACTATCTGCACAAATCGAGGCGACGCGAGGCGAAGCGACGATACGCGACGCGTGTTGTACGCGCGGAAATACGAGGATACGACTCGGTCGTAGGTGAAACGTGGGACCGTAAGCAAAATGATCGCGCTTAGTAACGCTGCCTTTCAATGCACCAACGATAAACTAGAAGAGAACGTGGACGAGATTACGGGACTCGTCGTTCTCAACCAGCACCATCATTTTATTGCGAATGCATCGCATTAATGACGTATTCAAATCGTTTAATTATTAATTCGTTGGTTATCACGATGATTATTGACGAGGATTTTTCAAATTTTCAAAGAATAAAATATAGATGGTGCAATATATTTAGTCACGTTGCGGAGGAAAAGAATTTTAAATCAGAATTCTTCAGCAATTGTCATATTTGAAAGTTCGCGAAAAATGATACTCACGCGAAGTTTGTTTCGAAAAGGACATTCGCGTCAGCAAAAATTGAATATAAGTGATATTCTCAAAGAACAACCTCAGGTATAATTGCACGGTTCATTTTATGCATCGCGAGTAAATGTACGTGACTTATCAATCGTTGAGAAACTGGATAACGATTGTGAAATCGGTAATCGAAATGCAAGCTTTCGGTTACTAATTAAACATGAACGATCGGAGGAATGTAAGCGACGCGTGTAGCACGATCGAAGATTATTATTGAAGCTAATGTCAAACAACGTTATTAATAACAACTGAAATCACCGTTAGGCACGATAACGAATGAACGCAAACAATTCCTAGACTGCAATGCTAATAATAACACTGAATTGCATCAATTATCAATAATATCATTTATTTTTAAATCTGATAACACTGATAATGGAAGAAATATCATCAAATTTTTGTATTATCATATTTATTATATCAGTCTATCTATACGTATCGGTATTACGAAGGCGCTTAAATATCGATTTGCAAATAGCCAGAACACGTGGAACGATTTGCACTCGATGCACCCTATACGTGTTAGCTAATTATCGACCTAATTGTGTACACCGGTGAGCAGACGTTCCCATTTTATCCCATGCCCTTTAAAGAGTCGGCCGCGCACGGATAGCAGGTTAATTGGCCGATTTCCACGTGCGATTTCCATCGAATTTCCATTAGACCGAGGTGTCCAGGAGCCTCGATAGATCGGACGTGTGCGACCGCAAGTAAAACCGCGCACCGATCGTAACCAGTGTCGCGTTTCAACGCATCCTCGAGTCAACGGAGAAAGTGTTACGAGTGTAGACTGTCTAAGAACCGAAGGAAAACCTTTTTCCATTTCCATTTCGTTCGACACCTTGGAACTATTAAACCAGGCGCCGTTGATTCTACGAAAGTCGCGCGAGAGGTTGCATGTCAATTGCATAGACGCAACACACTGAATCATTGTCGCATAGATTTTAATCAAGCGTCGAATCAAAGTGGAACAGCAAAAGACCTAGCTCGACATCGAAGCTTTTTCCACCGCGAGGAGGTCAACGATGATCTATGCACTGTTCGCGGAGAGAACTGGAGCAACGAGCAAAGTCTCGGTTTGTCGAGTTCCACGCGACGCGTATAGGTCAACGTTGATCTCTGGAACGTCGCACGCCCCAGAAACACTGACTCCAGATACCCCGAGGAAGCAATTAACCAGCGCCAAGTTCATTATTCCAGCTGACGAAATCGCTTGGCAAAAGCTAGCGGCAGTTTCTCTCCTCCGCGATTGTTATTCCGATATCCCGGCTCCATTATCAGCGAACCCGCGCACCACGTTTCGATTGCACGCGTTATTAAAGCGGTGCACCGTCGCGCGAATCGTTCCCTGACGTTGACGGAATTAATCGTCGCTCGATAAAAACCGCGATAACGAGATCGAACGAGAGAAAGAGAGAAAAAGATAAGTGGGGGAAAAAGAATTCGACGTCGACGACTCTCGTTGATCTCTTCCGACGCGACGGGCGCATGACAAAAGAACGCACGAGTGTAGAGGATCGAGGCGGAAAACGCGACCGATCGAGACACTTTGTACGATTATTATTCGGGGTTATCGTTGAAGAAACAGCCGTTATCTGTTTCGAATTCATACCGACGACTAATAATAACCCGTATCGTTGCTTTGTCGTAGATTAAACAACGCGACCTATTGCGCCAGAGACCGACAGCTTTAACCCTTTCGCTCGTGACGTCCGCTGCGCGAGTCGCAGTTAGGCTTAGAAGAATAACTAAATCATTTTTTCTTTCCCTGAAAATTCAACCGCGTTCCAAGATTTCCTTCGGATCGTTGCAAGTTCTCGAACCTCTCTTCGTCGAGTTTCTTCACCCTCGAAGAATCGTCGAGCGGCTGGCGTTCGAGGTTCGAACGGAGGGTTGATTTCTCCGTTTCCACGGAGGCCGTCGAAAGGGAAAGCTGCGAGCGTCGTAACGGCACGGCACGGTAGCAAGAGCGGTTACGAGCACCAGGGGATGCTAGGCCTCGTGCCTGATGTGCTCTCACTCGTATCGATCGCGATACAATGGCTTCGGGTAACAAAGACACGCACAATGTCCACAGGGGGGTAGGTCGCGGGCTTCGAAACGGGGTTGCCTCCGCGTTTCAATCGTATTCGGTGAAAAAAAAGAGAAAAAAAAATAGACGTTCGATTTGGAATTTTGCGACAATTTCGTTCAGTCACAAAACGGATCGCTTATCGTTGACAGGGATAACTCGTTTTATGAGCGATGCTGTGCAAAGATTCAGTAGGATCTATTTCACAGTTGATAT